TGGCTTCCAAGTCTCTTGTGTATTACCTTTTGTTTTTAAGAATTGTTTTGGTTCAGTGATATCTACTATTTTATATACAATGAGTCAGTAAATAAAAACTAATAGTTACTACTTCTTTGATTATGTTTCACGGTACAAGTGTGATGACTCTAGTCATAACAGACTCAGAATGTGGAATTTCATGAATTCGCTGAATGCAGATAACTCTGGTATGCAGACAATGGCATTTCAGCTATTTCTTTTTCTGTATATAAACTCGAGTGTTTGGCCTTTCTTTTCATAAAGTCAGCAAAGCCATCATATTCCTTAGTCTGAAGAGGTAGTAGTTATAACCCCCCATATGGCGCCTCCCTCCACCCCTATTAAGGGAGGGGTGGTCAAACATTGGTATGCGAGTAAGAATTCCAGACATTCTTCAGACACTTGACTACCCACTCTAAAACAGTAGTAGAGAGGGTAGTCACATCAGACTAAGCCTATATAGCGTGATTTGTGGGGGAGGGGTGGTACGGTCCACATTCTTGGACCGGCAATCTGATTATAGGAATGAGGCCAAGTTTCAACTTGTTGTCCAGTGACGTAATCCGATAGATTACAGAAACCTCGTGTTTACGTAAAGAATCCGATTAGTCTCATCTACTATCACTTTTCTAAATAATTTTCTCCTTTGTAGTCAGAAACATAACATATCATGTCACGGTACCGTAAGGATTGTCCCTTACCTGGCTGCGGAGCGATTGCATTAGTAAAATTATCAAATCTTTTAAGTCAAGTCCACCAACTTTCACCAGAAGAACGCAAGCCTTACTTACAACAAGCAAAACTTCGAAAGTATAGAATATCAAAACCATTACGTAAACGTTGGATACCTTTTACGGAAAATATTCATAAAATTTAACTGATTTGCATACGACTTTAACTTCGATTTTCTCTTACAAATGATATTTTATCCTGAAGTTTTTTTCGAAATATGCTTTAGCTTATGTTGGAATTTGATAAAGAAATATAAAATATTCGCGTCCGACCTTTATGGGCTATAAAACTGCTCGCTTGCAGCTCGCAGTTTTAATTTAAGAAATATAAAACGGCGCGCGTGTCTCTGTCCTCTGATATAAACACGGTGGGAGTTCGAAAAACACGAGAGTATTTTGCTCGTCTTTCTGGCATATAATACATCCATTTGGATTATTACACCCTACACATGTTTTACTTGGGGTAATTTCCATTCCTTTCTCTTTTTTAAAGTGCTAACTATTACATTATATCGCCACTTCGTGAAGTTTTCATTTCACATAATTTCCCGCCTTGTAGCAAAACCTTTTTCAGATATTTCACTTCCGTTCACTGAAAAATTCACTTCCGTTATTCATAATATGCTAATTACACAAAAACGTCACGGACATGCGCGACACGTTTCGAACCCCATGCGCCCAGCCGTCAGGGGAGACTGAGCCTACCTGAACACATGCAACCTGCATTTTACACCTTCCATATAAATATTCATGTTTTTATTAATTAGCCTATGTCAATACAACACTTTTCGAGTTGAAAACAAGTCCGCAAAAATGCAGAATCTGCCCCTGTTTTTCTATACAATTAGTAGAGAGAAATTTCAATAATCCATACAGAAAGAGTAATAAACAATTAATATTTGAAAAAATATTGATTTCGTGTACTCTCAAGACCCTCGTAAACTCTGATTTTAAACATTCCCCCCCCCCCTATTTTTCAACGAAATTATTTCAGAGCCCCAAATTTCTTCGCCTCCCCCTTATTTGAATAAAAAAACCCGGCTTCCTTGAGGATTACGTTTTGAATTCTCTTACTGACATTATAAATGGAACGGAGCTGCCCCATTTGCGCCAAGTCGCAAAAGAACATAACAGACATATCACTCATTTGAGTCGCGCTCATAAATTAGAGGGTATTACTAACTAAGCTTCAAAGCTACTTATACTCGTAACCACCTGAGCTAAACGCCATGCAGAGACTACAAGAKCAGATGGACGCCATTTTAAAAAATCCTATGGACCACTACTGAATTGTTTCCTCTCTCTGCAACACCAACTACTTCCTAACAGTCACATCACGATACCAAAAGAGGAACTTATTACTCCCAAACATAACCACAGTGATTGAACAGATTCCCTTCAAGAGCCGAGCTTCTGACCGGTGACAGTCTTGGACAGTGGCATTGAACAGCTTCACCAAAAGAGCCCTCACTCCTTCAACGCATATCATCTAAAGCCAAAACGCCTTTAAAAACTCCACCTAAAATAGAAGAGATCCATATGACTCCGTCAAAATCAGACAGGCCTTCTGCTTCCAGTCCAATCACATCGTCGATAGAGGACTCAACAGAATTCCCGGATGCACCTCTAACAGCCAAAGGAAAATCTCCTATATAAAGACCCACGGTGGATACGATTTCAAGATGTTGATAGATACCCTGGTGTTTATATGAGACTCCGAGAAGATCCGTGAACGAATACGAGCCATAATAAAGTCTATCCCAGGCTGGTAAAAAATAATAAATAATTTATAGAACAAAAACAAAAGGATCAAGAAAAAATTGAAGAAAAAGCAGAATAAATTGAAAAATCCCCTAATATGAATAAAGCAAAAGAGTTTCCAAACAGTTGTCCGTTTATCGTGTTATTGACTTCCTTATCACACAACTAATTAAGAGTGTCAAACAAATTCGACAAATGTTACGTTGGCAACAACAACGGCGTGCCAAACTCATAAAAAAATCTTTCCCAAAAAATAAACAGATTTTTCAAAACAAATTGTTGGGATAAATCAGGCATATAACCCTTTGAGGTCCGCTTTAGGCCATTATTGGTCGTTTTCGACCGATGCTGGTAAAATTGCAAGTATCCGTGATCGTATATGAAGACCACCAAATGCACTCCATGACAACAACTAGTAATAAAACTCTATCTCAGAGTTGAAACGATTTCACATCAAGCACGATATCTGGTCAAAAAGAACCTCTGAAAAAAAGGAATGCCTAAATTTCGATTTTGTGGTGAAAATCTTCTTCTGCAAATTGAAATTCTACGTTTTTTGAAATTTCCAATACCAGATCTATAGCATTTCTGCATTTTTGTTTTGTAGAAGTCTCTACAGACCTAGCCACAGACCCCTTTTCGACACCAATCACAGCAATCCCAGATTTCTCAGCTGCGCGTCCGAATTGCATCATGGGAAACGTGGTTCAAACTCGGTAGGGAGCAACCAACGGTCCTGATTTCATAGATTTGCATAGAAGTGCCAAGTCAATCGCACCTACAGGCAAAATATTGCACCGATTGCATTCTTTGGATGTTAAAACTTGCCAATTTTACCTTGGTAGGTTCTGAAACCTGCCACAGAACGACAAGGGAGGCAACCTTACTCTAACGTCGGCAATTCAAAGCTAACTTCGTATTGGCAACATTAATTGTCTTCGAAAAATCGCTTCCAACTTCTGATTTCTTCCAGAAGAGTGTCCCTGCCGCCTAGTCGAGCTTCATAATGCAGTCCTAGGGGCTTCTGTGGCAGCAAATGACTCGAGCCGTCTCAAATTCGCCAGGCGTCGGTGAAGTAAACAAACTCAGAGGAATGTGAATCTACAATAGTTTGATTGACAACTCCTTATATGGGGTTCATTTAATTTTTTGAAATATTAGTCTCAACAAGGCTATATTGCTCTAAGAGCAATGATGTTTCGGCCCTCTACAGTGCAGTGCAGTGCTGCGTTTGTCTTTTTTTTGTCTATAAATAGGCTGCCTTACAAATAGGGGGTGGGGGTTGGGGGTGTTTTTTTAAAATACGGACCTACATTAAATGTTTGATAAATTAGTTTAATTCACAGTATAGCGTGTAAGAACTGGCTGCTATTATGAGAAGTTCAAAGAAATTACTATCTAAAACCAGTTCATTTCAGTTCAAAAGCATTTTAAAATAGAATAAACTGAAGAACACCGGACCTTTTAAGACTTTTAAGCTTGTGGGGGGAAGGCTAGTTGAAATCACAAGGTTTACAATGCCTCGTGATTGTTATTTAAAAAAAACTGAATATAATTTGGATGTTTCGATTTGCTCCTGGAACAAACCTTTTCTATAATTCAGTCATAGTACCATTTGTAAACTCCTAAAGCAACTGTCCTCTGCTGTCACGCGTGTCCGTGTGGAGTGCGTAATTAACTTATAAATTTTATCATGCCAGATGTAAACATAGAGGGAACTTGATCAGTTAAATTTGAATCTGATCTTAGTAGCGTTTCGGCCTGAGGGCCGAAACAAAAACAACCTAAAATCCAAAATAAATCGCGGACGTCACATGTAAAGGGTTACACTAGTGTAATGAAAAAAGTTTGAGCAAAATTGATTTTTCGGCTGTTGCCATGAAATGTCTGAAATTTGTAAACATCTGCTCTAAAAGTCATTAAATTTTGATGAGCGTGGTTTGATCATTGAGATTTGCATGTAGCTCACCAGGTGCCTATTCTTCGTGAAAGTCCCATACATTTTCATATTTCTGTTAAAAAACATTTTTTTGGCTCAAAATTTCGTGATGATCCTCTAATTTAGATGTTCTCTTGAGGACAATTATAATCTTTCGCTAATTTAGCCTCTAAATAGCTTTTTTAGAATATCACGTGATGATTGCAAACCAAGAATATCTGAAAACAATACCTTCTGCTGTTCATTTGCGCAAAATATGCATTAATTTTTAATTTTTGCTTAAAAACAACAGGTGTTTAGTGGCCATGATTTGTAAAATCTTTCTTGGATTGACGAATAATACGAATACACTTTCGACAATTTTTTTCTCAGCCACACTTTCAATGTCAAGAGCAAATTTAAGAAAGTCATTGTCCTTTTGCAGTGCGAAATTCTTTAGCTGCAACGCCATTTTTAGTACTTCTTCGTTGCAATCCATACTCTCCGCTTCCTCCTCCTCGTCGCTTAATAAATGTTCATTGTCGTGAAGTAAAGTTATTCATAAGGTCTTTCTCCCGATCGCCAGTGTTGTCTTCTGTAGGCGCTTCGTGGTCAATGTTCTCCAATAAAGGCTGTAGTCGTAAGCGTTCAGCAATACGTGACAGTGGAATATCATCGTCGTCGTCTTCTTCGGTTGAGACGTTTTCATCTTCGTGGTTCACAGTAGAGAATCTTGATGCAGTAAAACACCTTGTGATAGTTGTTGGCTTTGTTTCAATCCAGGATTTAGAAATCCAGTGCACACAGTCCAGTAATGTTATTTCTTTGCAAAGAGCAGTCGCACTCTCGGAATCGTCAATCTTGCTTAGAAGACTCCTTAATAAATGCTTCTTGTATCGAGCTTTGAAAGCACGAATAACACCTTGATCTATTGGCTGCAAATGCGAGGTTGTGTTCGGTGGCAAAAATTTCAAAAAGTTACATTTGAAAGTTCATAGTCATCTGATCCATGAGACGAGGCATTATCCAAGAACATTAATTCGACCCGCGAGCAAAGCACGAAGGGAAGTGCACGTGTCTCTTATCAAATTCGTGCAATCTTATTGGCTGGAAAACCGTGACCGCAACAGTGCATAACGTGATTGGACAATAGCTGTTCACTCAATAGAGCCGAATGACTCAGAGTGTACAGATACCACACCCTTTCAGACGTTCGTCGACAAGGAGCGATCAACCCAGTGTAAGACAACAAAGAAAGCCCGGACGAAAAAGGTAACATTAATTTAACTGACTAAAGTTGTAAATAATGGTAACTACTGTAGAATTGGCAAAATATTGCAAAAATTGAATTTATATGCTGTACTGATGCAGCAAAACAAAAACTGTTGATCCAGCAGAGCCGTTTATGTGTACGTGGCTTAACTGAAAATTTGATGATGTTTCTCCTTAAAACATTACGCTTTATCGCTAAAATCAATCAAATTTCCATCCCCAACCAACACTGCCAGCTATATTTGAGCTTCTGAAAGGGCTACATTACGATAAAATAATTTTTGAAAGTGTTGACTTCCAATCTCGAAGATTTTACTATCTCGAAGATTTACTATCTCGAAGATATTACTATCTCGAAGATTTTACTATCTCGAAGATTTTACTATCTCGAAGATTTACTATCTCGAAGATATATTATTTTACTATCTCGAAGATTTTACT